GAAAGGAATGAAAAGGCAGAAATGTGTCACAGTTGGAAGATCCAGGCAGCCATGGTCGGTGATCGTCGTGTCAGCGCATTTGGTGGAGCCAAGCGCCACTAATTTCATTTTGATTCATCTTGCAGCAGTGAAATCTCTACAGCGTGCAAAATTAGTATCATTCTATAGACACAAGGTGCCATTTTGTGGAGAAAAAATGCTTCTCCACAAAGTGATACTTTGACTACTGAGATTTGTGGGACATCTTTGCATTTTATAGAGAAATGACGCGCGCGCGCATTGTATAAAATGAAGTCGCGCCACCCTTTCTATATAGACATGTTTTTTTTGGGGGGTCATTTGGTAGAAACTTTTCGGATGTGCCATTTTGTAGAGCCGATAGCCGTTTTTTCTACAAAATGATCGTTTGAGGTGAAGCTCTCCAAGAAGGCCAAGAAGAGAATGGCTCCAGCCGGCGCGGGGCGTGGCGCGTGGGGCGTGGGTGGTTTGCGGACGGGACGGGGCAGGACGGGATCGTGTGGGGGCAAGCTCAAGCATGTTCAAGCCAAGCCAATCTTTCAAGTGGTCTCCAGTGTCGGAGGTTTGGTCCTGAAGGCTTGACAGAGGAAGAATTGGTACCTCAAACCTGAAGATCGATCATGTGCCAAACTCCAAAGGTTCCCCAAAACAGCAAATTTTTGGTCAGATAGAAGAAGTTGGCGAATTTGATGGATCAATTTGTGAAGTGTCATGGCTTTGGGAGGTGAACGTGTTGATGCTAGGTAGGAAGTGAGGAGGAACCTTGCAGAAATCAGACACCGTTTGGTGTGTAGATTCAACCGGTTTCGAGAATAAACCCGAAAGCAGAGACCTTGCTCGATGTCACTAGGGAGAGCACTGTTAGGAAGAGATTGAGGGAAGGACTAGACTCGACTCGTATGATCCACGCAAGCCAAATAACCTGGGAACGCCCCAGGGAACCGCCCCAGTGGCCACCGCCCCTTCTGCAGGGCAAGCGTGGGCTGGTCGCCTTGTTTGATGATCGTGCAATTTGTGACAGTCATGGGCTCAGGGGACGACCAGAGCAGAGCAGCGCTGTGATGCGTTGCACCAGTCAATCCATCCGAAGTATCTCCGTCAAAGAAGGTAAAGCAATTGATTGCTGCGTCTGCTACGTCATAGAAATACAGACACTGAAAGATGGCACTTGGAAGACGCTACCAGAAACGGTGGTGGGTCAAAAGCTATCTCGGCAAGGTGTGCTTTCGTGCTAAGAACAATGCCCCCCCTGCTTGGACCGAGCTGAACCCGGTGAGTCTGGCCAAGTGCACACCCATCCTTGTTGATGAACGGAAGAGGTTCCTGCAAAATATCAAATCTTCCCATTTCGATTGCGGAGGTCGAGGTGGCCTCTTTGTCCACGGATCGTGTGTGATCCAGGGATCAGTTTTTGGTGGGACAATCTCTTTCTTGGCGGATGCACTGGCCTCAGCAGGCTTGGGGCTCTGACGTGCTTCATCAAGACCACCTGCTGCAATCACATGTGCCGGAAAACGGCCTTCAAGGATGCGGAGCAGGCACCAGTTTCTGATATTGATTGTAAAGTCCAAGAAGTCAGCAGGAACATTTGCACGAATCCATTCCAAATTGGCCTCATTTCTGATGGTGGCCTGGATGTCTTCTGTTGTCGTGCGCCACCAAAATTCGAATCTGTGGGTCACCAATGGGACCAACTGCAAGCTGTAGGCGTCGGAATAAACGGAAAAGAGTTGCGAAACCGCACATGCCTTCAGGATCATACTGTTTCATGTAGTGGACTTGCAGGACATTCTGGTCATTATCAGTAGTTCGAATCAGCACTCCAATGAGATGTTGGACCATGTGACGCCAGATTCGTGGCAGTGTGAGGCACAGCTGAGTGAAGTGATCGTAGCGACACAGTTCGACAGTGATCCAATGATTCTGCATAGCAATGCACCACACGATGTCATATGTTGGTTGGAAGCCATTCAGGAAGCTCAGTGTGGCAGACTGATGCACCCGCATTGCAGGCGGACAGAATAGCGTGTTGGGCTCTTGAAATCGGAGGATCTCCAGGGTATAGTCAATCTCATCTGATGTTGCCCACCCAGGGAATTGATGGAAAGTCTGAAGCCTCTCAGTTATCCTGTTGAACAAGTTGTCCGGTTGAAGCGTAGTGTGGTGACCTGGTCTAGGACCACTTGGCTCTGGGATGGCAACACAACTGGTTGGCCACTGCTGTCTCTCCGAGCGAGGAACCATAGGAAATTCTTCCGAAGCCTTGCAGCGAGGTATACAAGCATGGGGCATTTCATAGACTCTCCCATCTTTGATGGACGATTGCACGCACATCTCGATTGTTTGGACACACCTGTCTGGCAGAGCGTATTGTCGGGAGAGATCAGGAATCTCATCATCAAGATGGGTACCACCTCTGCAACAAAGTCCAACCACATAGGTGAGGGGAGTACTCAGCTTGCTCACTCCGCACATCAATTCGGTGAGGTGCTATGTCAAGCAGCCGGGCAATGAGAAAAGTAGCTCTTGTAATATCTTGTAATCAACTCTTCCTAACTTCCTGTAGCTGTACGAAAACAACAGATGCCCTGTCACCATTGCGTTGGATTTCACACGCAGCCCAGTGATTCCCAACAAGGATTGGCGCAATTATGGTGGTGTTGTTGTAAATGTGGACTTCCTCACCATCATCTTCAAAATCAGGCTTCGTAGGGTCCCACATCACAGGAGCCGCAAAGATGGCTCCATTGCAAACTTAGTCATTGCTTGCATTTCGTCAGAGGCCAGCCATCCCTGAGTATTGCGCATGAACTCTGCTCGTGAGTGAAAATCCGCCCCTTGTGCAAGGCAAGGAGAAGGTCCCCCAGCCTCATGATGTCCTCCTGCAGCAATTGGGTTTGCCATCAAGGATTTCAAGGGCTCGATCTTGTCGCCAGACTGCATCATGATTGCAAAGCTTTGGAATTACCCCCTCATCTTGCACGAAGAAGCGAAGGCTTGAGAGCTGCTCTGTGATGGGATTGTGATGAGGTGGAACTCATCACGGCTCTGCACATACACCACTCGATACAACAAATCTCCCGGGCTGCAAATGAGAAAGGTTGTGTTGCATGTAGTCCCTTCACTAAAGACCCGGTCACAGAACACTGCTGCCGATAGACAGCCTGGTCAATGAAGGTGTTCACTGCTCCCTGGCAGCCCCAACACTGGAAATGAAGACCAACGTCAGGATGAAGGACAATCAAGGAAACGGGCTGTGGCTCATGGTAGATACCAATATTCTTGCAGGCGTCAGTGATTATATTGTCCAAAACCAATGGTGGCATAGTACACTCTCATGGTCCTTGGACGCAGGAATATGAATATGCTTCTCCTCCCTGGCCACGACTGTAGGAGAAATCTCGATGGCCTCAGGATTCAGATTCAGGAAACAAGCGATCGTGCATTGGCCGATCACAGTGGCAGCAATCATCACACTCCACTCACTTGCATGGGCAGCGAAAAGGCCAATAGGCATGATCATGCTTGACTTCTCATCCTCGGCCCGAAAGTAAATTTGCACCGAAAAGCTCAGTAACAGCGTCTCGCAGACAATGCCATCGGGGCACATGCTTGAGAGGGAAATTGAAAACCACGAACTGAGCGGTCACATCACTACGGCACCAAACACCAAGGCACCTAGTGCGAAGGTGATTTGACATGCGATGCATGGGAGTCACCTGAGCCCAAATCTTTCGGAAGCCAAGGCTCTGAAGCAGGGATTCGACCAGCTTAAAATGCTGATGCTCGACGATTTCATCGGAGCATTCAGCCAAGATGCAATTTGGCTGAAGGATCATGGAGGGAATCGCCGCGTCAACAAAAGCCCATCCATTGTGGTCATCGAGACCTAACTGCTTACCCCCCTTTGACCAGCTTTGGCATGGGAGTGAGAGAGACCCCACAAATATGTCTGGAGTCGAATGACGTTAGCGATGCTCCAATCCGCAACAGACCCGTGAACGCCCACATGTTTGGCTGACGGCCACGCAGTGCTCCAATGTATCGGGCACCTGAAAGGCTGCTGGCCATGTTTGACACTCCACAATTCCATAGCCTGCTCATTGAGGTCAATCTCAAACTGTTGATGAAGGCAGAACGAAGATGCGGTCTTGTCCAGGAATTCGGCAGCTTGTGACCAACCACTGTACGCTCCCGAAAAACAATGGATCATGCTGCACGGCATATCCCTGTCGAAATCAGCCCGAAAAGTGATCGTTGCCTCGTCCTTGAACTCAATGAAGTCATCCTTGTTGCAGATCGTCTCACCTGCACACGTTACACGGACACCCTCCGAAAGGCAGATTGAACGTTGACCCAGGAAAGGCGTGCGGACAACAACTCGATGGGCAGGATCCGCTGCAGGGCCAAACCCTTGAGCGGGAGTGAACGGCAGAAGACCCATCTTGATGTAGTCGCCCTCAACAGATTCCACTTCCCCCACCACGATGACCTTGGTGTCGGACTTCAACCGCCATAGCACGAAAACTCCTGAAAAACACGTGAGAACCGAACCACGTGTATTCAGGGTGAGCAACTTTGGGGTCGCTCTGGTGGACACTGACCCGCACCTTAGGGGTGCGCTAACGGCCCCGGGCGCCCGTTCGCTCCAGCTTTTTGGGGTCTTTGAACCCCAGCGGCTGCATACAAGCGCATCCCAAGCTCCAAGTGTAACCCGCTCCCTGGACATGAGACATGGTCCAAACGACCGTGGTCTAATGTGAAGACAGGGGACCGACATGAGTAACATAGGGAGCCCTGAAATGGCGTGTTTGGTAGGGTAGGTCGGGTCAAGTAATAAAGGAATAACATAACAGAATAGCATATATTAAGGTGTCTTTGGGGTGTCATGCTCAGCATGGGTAGGTAGGAAAGGGGGGGTTGCAAATGGTCCAGGACCGTTCTCGGCGTTGCCGTTTTGTCCGATGAGTGTCCAATCCAAGGATTGCACGCTGAGTGCTTCCCTCGGAGGCGTGGCTTCCATGACTGATCGACGCTCAGCCTTCGCGAAAGTATCATGAGGACATGAGGACACAATGGACGTGTCCAACAATGGCTGGATGAACTCGTCTAGACCGCTGACTTGTGGCACCTACAGGTCCACCCACAGGTCCACCATCATCCGGGCCATGGATCTCAACCCGTTTTCGGGCCACGGAGCCTTGCTCTTCCGAACCATGCCCGCTCCAAAGGGGTGTCCAAAACCACACGGCCGAGTCAGTGGCGCCAAAATCGTCTATGATTTGGCCTTTGGTCTCGGCCGAGGATCAGTTTACCCATGTTTACCCTTAGACCATCAAGAGGAACAGTTAGGCTCCTGTGAAACCCCCCTGGGGTTTTCACGTAACATAAAAGGTCTAGTTTTAGAGACTGAAGCAATCCTGACACCTTCCGCACAAAACCTGGCACGGACCCTTGCAGGCCAGAGCCGTTCGAAACAGTGCCTTGGTTTCGGAGTGAGATTTTTTTTGGAACGCGCCAAAGCGAAGCTGGCGCGAAGTGCTGGAGACGGTGAGAGGGAAAGGCAAGAGTGCCGTTCTATGGCCGCACATGATTGAAATGATGAGAATTCTCCGGTGTCGTTCACGATGGATGTGAGTCAAAAGCGAACCCACATGGAAACCGAACCCACTGAAGCAACAAGTAGGGTAGACTTCTTGCAGCACCCAGTAAGATCTCCTTCTTCACGGTTTTGTTTCTCTTTGGGCCCAGTAGGAGGGGGTTAAGTCTGTGGAGACAAAGTGTATGTGTTCCCTTCACCGGCAACACTTCAACTGTAACAAAGACCGGTTTGCCGCCCTGCGGTTTGGCTCACCAGTTCGCCGACCTCACCTTCCAAGCTCTTAAACGACAACTAGATCCCTTTCAAGAATGGATGGTTGTGAAGTTATGGAGAACAAAAAAACTGTTCAGCATGACGAAAAGAAAAACATATTGTAAATCCCACTCAAATCCTTAATAATTAAGAAAAAAAATTCTCTTAACATGTGATCCAACTCTGTCTCCTCCCAGGTTCCTTTGGTTCAAAGTGGCCGCTCGCAGCGCCGTGGGCCGTGGACCCCTGTCCACTGCCGTGGCACGCCGCTGCTCGGGGACTCCATCAGCGCCGCTGCGGCCCGGCGAAAGAGTTCGTTCGGAACGCCAAAGGGTTTTGTGGATGGAACGCTTCCGGGCCTTCCGATGCAACAGCTTCCAGCCCTTCCGGGCTGTAGAAAGGATCGTGAATTCTGGCAAAGCTGTGCATATTTGTGCAGCATCTTTCATCTGCTTTCCAACTTCATAATCTGGCAGCGGGTCAAAACAAGGGGACCCTGGTTGACCACCAAAAATGAACAGAATAGACTACCAGGTAGGTCAATCTACATCAATCTAGCACGGATTAAGGGTGCAGTTTTTCACCCACACTCATCTGTGGATAAGAATGTGGCAGCACCCCCACCCGCTGAGGTGTTGTGAGATCACTTTTGTTGAACGACTGTGCAAAGAACAGTACAGCCTGCCGCTGTGACCTCTCTAGTGAATCGGATGAGCCCTACAGCTAATCCACCAGGAAACAAGCGCGATTATGGCTCATCAAACCGTCCCCATTTTCACCGTGTCCTTCCTTGATGATCCTAACCTAAGTGATCATAACACGCACTCACTTGCTTCTGATCCACAGAAGCTGTTTCGTAGCCCAGAAACAGTGAGCATACAAAACTGCATCAAGCTGCCAGAGTGAAACTGCATCAGTTTGGAACATGATGATATCACATGATCTCCTCCACCGGACCCGGTTTCGCGCCGGCCGGAGACACCTGACGCGGCGCCTCGAGGAACCTCACGTTGAACTCCTCGAGCTTCGCCGCCGACGGCATCGGATGGAGCTTGATCACCTGGGAGGAGTGCGAAGCGGAGTGGTAGCGGGGATTTGGGGGTTCTTTCTTCCTGGAGTGAAGTGGAGTGAAGGTTTGTTGAGGTTCTTTTTCCTTGCTGGAGCTACACGATGCCTACACGATGCTACACGTTGTAAACTGCAATTGAAGAAGTGATCGCCATTGACGCCCCGTCCCGGCCTTCTTCTGAGAATTACAATGGGTTGTCTTCTTCAATGCGTTTAAGTTGACGAAATGAAATATGAACTGCAACACACCCCTCTTTCAAAAGTCCCACGGGTCTTGAATTTGTTGCTGGCATCTGTCTGGGATTCGTCAGCTGACTGAACCTGTACAGCGAGTTCTCTCGCCAGTCCCCCCACCTCCGGAGTTCCGGACGCTAATGCGCCCTGGGCTGACCGCGGAGCCCTGTTCCGAAACCCACCTGGCTCCGTAGCGCAGCCCTTCCCTCCGGGGTTGAGGAGCCCTCCGAGCTGCACGACGCCGTGCTCTTGGGCTACCAGGCGCGACCGTTCGTCCGGTCTACGCTGCGTGGGGAGAACACGAGAGGATCCGCCAGTTTCGACAGAGTCAGCTGACATGTTCATTTGGATGATTTTGGAGGGGGCTTGGAGAGATTGGGGGGGAATCTATTTGTGAGCCATTGGCCACTCTGGAGGAATCCTGAAGATTTTTACAGTGACAGCAGCTTCGCAAGCTTTCAGCACCCAGCTCTCGTTGGTGCTTTGGCTGTGGAGGTCTATGTGGACGCCAACACTGCTGATGCACAGGACTTTGGGACATGTTTGGCGTCGGAAGATGGTTTTGATTGGTGTCACCATGGTGACTGTTCAAGGCTGCGGGTCACGAAGATTCACAGGGTATATAGATACTGGTACTATATATTGATATATATATATATAGAGAGAGAGAGAGATTGTGTTGTTTACTTGGATTGCTTTTTACAGTGTTGGAGCACAGGCCATGCTTTGCAGGCTTGGCTTGGCCATGGCTTGACCACGGAAAAGACACAGGTGGAAGCCACATGCCTCACTGTAGTCAATGTCGAGTACTGCTGGAACTGGCACTGGTGCATGATTCTGTCAATGTCCATCAACAGTATTCTGTCACAAGGGTGTCCAAGCCAATCCAACAATGGAAGTGCCCTGGGATGCCCTGGAAAAAAACATGTTCCTCTACTAATAATAGAGGGTGGTCCGCTTCTTTCTTTGTTGGAGACAGGGTAATCACTTGATTCCTGCAGGGATCTCTTGGTGGGATACACATCAAAGATATGTTTGCCCAGCCAGAGGTGTTGCCCAAGACCCCTGTATTTACTCAAGCGTCAATCACAGCAAATATAGACAACAGCCGTCACATCAACTCGTGGGGGAAGCTTAATCTCAACAGTCATCAACATTGGGTTTGTCCTATTACCTGTAACAGTCAGTTTTCACATGTTATCACTATTTTTGAACAAGGCCTGCCACCTAACAATCATCATCCACTGTTACTGACCATAGGATAGACTCGGATAGACCCAACGGCCATGTGTTGACCCGATGTCACCGCCGATGGCCGAAGCCGATGATCCAGGATCTCTACACCTTGCTGGACGTGATCGAGGATCCGGCCCAACGGCTCTTCAAGCACCAAGACGTGGTCCAAGGTGAGACGGCGTTGACGTGGACCCCGCCGGCGGTCCGGGCGGTCCAGTGGACGACGATGAAGGTCTCACCGGCCCCTCTGGTCGTCTCGAACGCCGAAGGAACGTCCCAGGTCGATGGCACCGGTCACAGCGCGCCAGGTCAAAGCTACAAGTACAAGGTCACCGCGGTGTCCGAGACCGGCGAAGGCACCGCGAGCGTGGTGACGCTGGTGCCCGCCGTGGTGCCCTTGGAGCCGCCGGCGCCGGTGTTGCTGGACGACTGCACCATGGCGTGGCCTGGAAAGATACATCCATGGTTTTGCTCATATATAGTGTTCTCCAAATAGACAGACACAGTTTCCAATACATTTTTAGTGAGGTTCTATTTTTCTATCTATTTGGGGACCACTATAGATCTTAATTATGTGTTTGATATTATTTGATCGTTTGGTGAGTGCTTTTTGGTGTGGTGAAGCGCCGGATAGGAGATCAAAGGGTGTTTTTTGCTTGTTGGTTTGCTGACCCAGGCAAACTTGGATGTGCTTAATTATGTTCTTTTCGCTGGCCACGTGGCAGACCCGCTGCGTGGAACCACGAAATCACACCGAGGTGGTTGGCGGAGAACGGCACCACCAAGGCCTTGTGTTCGATTGCACAGCGCTATCAACTGGCAGTGGCCAGTGTCGATCTCCGAGCCCCTCGACCGTTAGTCGGGCCGGTCTGGAGTGCGGGCGGTGCATGAACGCGCGAGACGTGCAGGTCGAGCTTTCGCTCGGTGCAGAAGACATGGAAGGCGGAAATGATCCGAGGGTTTGAAGAAATTTGAGTGAAGGCCTCCACTGGGTCGACCCCGTGGAAGCACTCTTTGCAAGGTATCAACAAACGTTCGAGACGCAGCCAAGTGGTCCAATTCACCGAAAGGATTGCTGAAGTCCCCCGGTCTTTATGTCGTCCCACACACAGCGAGAAGCGTGCAGTCTTGCTGACACCACTTCTTAATCATCGTCATGGAAGTCTGACCTGGGGTGGAAACAGATACTTGAAAACATATCCCAAATCAATTAGCAAGGTTCAATTTCTACTTGCCTCGTTCAACACAATCACACCATGCCCTGAGGGGAGTTCTGTAGAGACGACCACTACGGCGGGTTCACCAATTAGTTACTGGGATGGTGCAGTTTTTGTTCAACCGCGCTGGGACAGGGTCTGAATCAAAACGCACCCAAAACCATAGATGCATGTACCAGCACCTTCAAAGGGGTCACCAATGGAAGCCCCTACACCACAAAGGGACCTCCAATGGACACCCCTTGAAGGTCCAGGTATGTCTCCAGTAGGGCCGGATGATGTGAAGTTAAGTTAATTGCTGCAGAACCTTTGCTGGAGAACATGAGAACCTCTGCTGCGCAGAACGGTAAGGACAGTGCAGACATCAACGCACCCCGCGTGAACCCCTTCGTCACGGTGGTCGCGGGGACCGTGATGACCGTCAGCGAGGAGGTTTATAGTGCTGATGGCCGGATCTACCTGAAACCTGGCAGATTTACCTCATGTTTTGGATAGTTATATGAATATGGCTTAAGGAACAACATAAGGGACCTGCACATGCAGACGAGGGTTGTACGAACTTTGTCTTCCTGGTTTTGCCTGTAACCGCGGGTTGATGTTTACTGGCTCAATCACAGGCTGCAAGAAGTGTGGCAATGTACAACGTTGAGGTGGGCTTGTAATTAGCACAATCTCTTTTGTCCATCTTTGGTGCTGAAGACCCTTGTGTGACATTGCGAGAAGGGGTGCCATGACCCCACTCAGCATGCCTCAACAAATACAGCAGCCACCTGTGGCAGCAATGACCAGTGACTACTGATTTGTTCGGATGCTTTGTGATTGTGTTTTCCCTTTTGAGCACAGGTTACTTCTTTTGCTGCATTTGTTGGTCATGTCCAAAATTGCCAACCCTAAAGACAAAAGCCTCAATGATGTGTGTTTGTCTAATTGGTATGTTGTTTAGAAAGGGCAGTTTGGGTGACCCGCAGTCTCCTCAAACGAGGTGTTGCTGTACTGGACTTGGGCTATGCCAACATCTTGTGAGGTTTGAGGCCTGTGTACTCAAGATCAATGAACGGAGACCTATACCCAGACCCTCTGTAGAATGTGCATCAAATCGTTTCTGTCGGACGCGATGCCGCTGAGGAACCTGCCAGACTTGGGCGGATGGCTCTGGGATGACACGCCGCTGGACCCAGGAGAGGGTAGGGTAAGACCTGGCAAAGAGAGGAAAGAAGCCCAGGTCTTGGCCTTAGGTCTCCATGACTGTTTTCCAGATCTTATCTATACCAGGTATTCATGGTGTTATTTCCAGACCAGACTTCCGGAGATTTGATCATGCATGATAATGGTTTTAGCCGCAGAAGCAATAGATGCGACGCAATATGCCAGAGCCAGTGCCAGAGCTGGTGGCCATGATCCGCCTTCAAAGGGAGCTAAAACCTTACCCTACTTCACCGATGCCCTTCACAACCCCTTCACCTGCCTGCACACCTGCGCCCGCGCACGACAAAACTATTGAGCGGACCTCTCCGTCCGGGCCCCCCAAAAACATCTCCCTGCCCTAACTCCTTTTTCAGCAGCATGGTCAACCGTGCACACTGTGATCGGGCAGGAAATCCCTTGGCCTATCGTTTGCCCACCTTGAAGTTCTCCTGGACCTGGTACGACGACGAGGTCCGCGCCCTGGGTGGTCAGCCGCTCACGGCCTGGCACGTCTACCGCTCCGGCGACGGCGTGCAGTGGGACGCGGCCACGGAACTGGCGGCCAGCGCGCGGAATGCCTCCTATGACTGTGAGGTGGCGCAGGTGGGGAGAGCCGCCACGCAGGTAGACGAAGCTTCGTTAGTCTTTTAGTTTAGATGCGCATGTTACCGCATGTTCGTTTGTTCATCTCAGGCTGGTCCGACAGAGGGTATGAATCGGATGGTACTATAGAATGACTATGATGTGCCCATGCAAGCTGCTGCCCGGTGCCCACCCAGTGCCGCACCCAAGGTGGGTTTGCCCTTCTGGGTGCGGGTAGCAGCAGTGAACAGTATCGGCGAAGGCGGGGAGCATACGGGGACTCATAGGGATCGGAGGATCGTTGGACTTCACGTGTGATTCATGTGATGTCGTGAATATATGTGAATATGTGAACCTACTCCCAGAGCCTGAAGAGTTCAGTCGCAGAATTCGTGTCCAGAGGGGATACCGTACGTAGACTGCTTTAGAACCTATGGACTATATTCACGCAAAGAACCAACCTGGAGTCCGGAGTGTTTAAGTGACCTGTTCAGGGATTCAGTGACCTCATTCTGAGATCTCAAGAAAGTCCTGGTACGTGGTGTGGTTCACGCAAAAATCATCATGTAGACACATAGAAGTCCTTAGAGCAGATGCACAACCCGCTGTCAAACACTTGGATCAGGTCAAGATTCCTCAGAAGATTTACTGATCCTGGATCCTCCCATGTGCTTCAGTTTCACCAGAGGATTTTGGGGGTGGCTAAAAATGCCCTCCAACCACATATACCAAAAAAGACCCACACCCGCCAGGGCCACGTGTGTTTCGCCCACACCGCATCAGCAGAGAGAGGCCCCGCGTCGGATGCGTTGAAGCTCCGCTGCGCGCTGCCGCCGGGGATGCAACCGGCGCCCAGTCAGCTGGACGGAGATTTGAACTCCATCATCGTCACTCGGAGCACGAGCTGTGATGGTGAACGGTGACCTGTGTCTAGGGGCTGTGAAAAAAGTTGGGTTGGGCCCTCTCATCTGAGTGGCAAAAGTTGGACCAGGCACCTTCGGTGCGGACGAAGGCCATCCGGCCTCAAAGAGCCAGTTGTTTTTGTCCATCACAAGGTTACGAGCTTTGCCTTCAAAAGGTTGACCGCAGCAGTCATCAGTTCGCAGGGATGTTCAACACGTGTATATATAAAAATACAATATACATATTGTAATTATTATCGAATTGAATATAGATTTAGTGGATGCCCGATGATGTTCTTGAAATCCACCAGAGAAACATCGCCGTGTTTCACCTCGGACCTACTCAGTGTTGTTTCACGTCACACCATCCGGAAAGCCCACATTCATGATAACACCCAAGTGCAGGGGTAAGAATCCAGAATCCAGACGGCCAGCCATGCACCAGGTGGGCTTCGATCCACAGAATCTCCACGGTGCAGAGCTCTTCTTTCACCGAAGCTTGGCACAACGAAACGACCAAGAGATGCTCTGAGTACGCTGGAGTGTCCAAACCTGAACGTCTTTTGATGGCTATGAAAGAAGAGACTGCAAGTGGTTGAGGTACATAATCGATTCTACAGCTCAAATCAAATCGGCATATTGTCTTATAGGGTATGTAACATGTGATATGCGGTTTTGCTCCACAGGCAGACTTCCTGGATGTCGGGAAGATGACCATGCTATCCCTTTGATCCGCCTCCCTTGCCCCTTGAAGGTCGACCAAGGTGTTTGTTTACTCGTTTTCGACCCATGCAAACTGGGAGATCAAATAGAAAGTACTTGGACGAACCTGCAGATTGACTGCCTTTACTGGGATTTCCAAGTTCCAAGGCCACGCATGCCTCAGGCTGACTCGCCTTCTTCGAGATCGCCCCATCATGTTGTTTCCTTGTAGACTCATTGGATATTATGTGAAGATCAATACCACAGACATGTTGGTGCATCAAAAAATCCCATCCACTCCGGGTCACTCACTTCAGACACCAAAAAACAAGCCCCTCACGTCAGCCCCTCACGTCAGGATTCCGTTCGAAACGACCTCCGTGGCCAGGATTGACCTACGCCTTGTCGGACGACCTGGAGGGCATCCTGGCGCCCACGCAGCTGGACGTGCCGGGCGCGGAGCAGCGAGTGAACATCTCCGGGCTGCTGCCCTTCGCGACCTACGTGGTCAAGGCGCCCGACCCATGACACCAGAGTGATGTGGAGTCAGGGGTGGAAAGGGATGGATTCCGTGGACGAAAGCGACTGGGAACGCCAAGACTGTGATTTTCTGTTGGGCTGGGATCAACTTAGTGGTGCAGGAGTACTTCCATCATGCCAGGAAGTCATGAGTACACGCAGCCCTGTGACGCGGCTACGGTGCGTCACAGTTCTTTTGGTGAAATCAATGGGATGCATGGAAGCTGCTCGACCTTCCCGGCACGGCCTTCACGGCAACAAGCTGACGGGGCAGGTAATACCTGGCAGGCAGGTCGTCGCCGACGCCGATCAAATGGACCCAATATGATGACCATGATAGAAACCATTTCGCCAGACCCCGGGGCCATCAGGGGCCCAAGCAGCTGGGCCCAACGTCCCCGCTTTTTGGAAGCAACCCAGTCCACGAATGAGTCCACTTGTCTCGATGCACCAGGAACCACCCAGGAAGTACCTCCGTACATGGTGGTCACCGTCGGTGTGGAACACGTGCTTCGCGCGCCGCGATGTGACTACCCCTCGGCCGGCGAACAAACGGCACCTACCCCGCACGGTCCGACGGTACCGCACACGAGGTGCAGGCCATCACCGAGGCGGGGACCTCTTTGGATCCAGGTTGGCAGAGCGCCTTCGGTTGGAGCGGGGCATCCGGCGGGCGGATGGGGAAGGGGAGGGTGGGGTGGAGTGTGACAGCCTCAACCTCAGGATGACGTCCATGCCGGTTTTGGCGGTTTGGTCGTGCGTTTTACACGCGCCAGTCAACGTAAAATGTGTGTTCCCCACATTGACGTGTGGTTTTTTTGTTTTCCGTGTTGTATCCGCTCCTCCGCCCTCCTCCTCCCGCTTGCCACCAACAAACTGCCAGCGACAAACTGCCACCAACCAATTGCCACCAAGAAACTTCCACCCACAAACTGCCACCAACCAAGATAAACTAACAAACTTCCAGCCGCAGCTTTGCCAGTATGATTTGCGTGGCAGGCGCAGCACTTGGTGCTCTCCAGAGGGTCGGATGTACTCCCTGCCTTGCCGTTTCAGGTGGGAAGTGGCCCCACACCGGTGACAGCGTTTTGAAGAGCCCGCTCGGACGTTGCGTGATCCGTGCTTCCGTGGGCTCAAGTCCAAAGAACGCAGATGCTATCACATTTTTTAGGGGGTCACGTTTTGTGGCCTGTGAGTTTAAGGAGTGTGCGTGAGAAGTTCTGAGGGGTATGTGTGTGTGTGTGCCCATGAAGACGCATCTGTTGCACAGTGATATAGTTCTGGGACGCCAGAACTACGTACCTGCCTTTTTCACTCTTAGGAAATGGAACCCTAGGCCGGCGTGTGGCACCGCTGTCAAGTCAGGACGCATATCCATAAGTGGTTTGGCCTCGTGCCAGCCCGGGATGAGCCCGCAGAGTGCCTCCCGTGGACCCGTCGAACGGGGGTTTGTCCAACGTATCCCCTGCCTGGATACAGAGCAGCTCGCAGCGAGCGTAGATGGCTCATGCCTCAAGAATTGGGATGTTTGTCTCATCTTTGGAATTCCAAGTTGGCTCATGCCTTTACGTGACCGCAGCGGTCAAAGCAGCCAGCCATTTCTGCAGGGCACAAGGTGACCACAGCGGTCAAAGCCAGTTTAAGGTTCATTGGAACCTGTCGCGACCTTGGGTGCACACACAGCGTGTACACTGAAACGAGGCAGGTCCCTAGGTGCTTCTAATGAGGTTTGGTTTCATCGGTTCTCGTCCCCTCCATTTGGTTCCCCTTTCATCCCTTCCCCTTCACACACTTTTGTTCTCTCTTTTCTTTCATGTCCTCCTGTCTTCATGTCTGTTCATATCATCCTTTTTTTCGTTTGCGTGTGTACGTGCACTTTTACATACCTTTAAACACAGGTTTCAGGTCGCCCAGGTCTTTACAATGAGGTGGGCTTCATCGGGTGTCCCTGTGCACTTGGTTCCCCTTTCATCACAACCACACGCACTTTTGTCCCGTCTCGTCCTCCTGTCATGTCTTCATTCTTTTGTCTTGCGCGCGCACACGTGCACATTGGCCCTTACCTTAGATTTACGCCTCCCCTCGGGGAGGCGTGTGTGTGTGTGCCCCTTGTGGTCACAGGGATCCAGTCGGATTGTGCTAATTTTTCGGTTTTCAGCAGGTGGCTGGAGTGTGCTTCAGATGTCTCCAGCCAACGAAGACGCATCTGTTGCACAGTGATATAGTTCTGGGACGCCAGAACTACGTACCTGCCTTTTTCACTCTTAGGAAATGGAACCCTAGGCCGGCGTGTGGCACCGCTGTCAAATCAGTACGCATATCCATAAGTGTGTTTCCTCCGGAGGCGGTGAAGCTTTCTTTTTTGGACCAATTTGGATCCCAGCCAATGGGTGGCTGGGATTGTGTGAGTCCATGTCGCATCCACGTCGCATCAACACTGACTCCACCAGTCCCATCTTTACAGCCCCCAGAACTCCTGGCTCAGATGCCAAAGACCAGGCCTTTTGGCCTGGAACTCATATTGTTTGTGATGTTTTCGCGTCCTTTTTGGGACTTTTTCACCGTTAGTGGCTTGATAGCTTTCTGTTAGCTGTGGCTTTTGGTGGCTCTGGGCTTTTGGCGGCTGTTGGTTTTTGTTGGCTTTTGGCTTTTGGCAGCTTTTGGCTTTTGGCAGCTTTTGGCTTTTGGTGGCGGTTGGCTTTTGGCGGCTTTTGGCGGCTGTTGGTTTTTGTTGGCGCTTGGCTTTTGGCAGCTTTTGGCTTTTGGTGGCGTTTGGCTTTTGGCGGCTTTTGGCTTTTGTTGGCTTTTGGCTTTTGGCGGCTTCTGGCGGGTGGTGGCTTTTTGCTTTTGGCGGCTTTTGGCTTGTGGTGGCTTTTGGCTTTTGGCGGCTTCTGGCGTTTGGCGGGCGTTGGCTTTTGGTGGCTTTTGGAGCATGTCTCGGATTCTTCTTTTGATCATCTTTCCAACCATCTTGCTATGTTGCCAGGGCATGACCGCTGCCGAGGGCATCTAGATCAACAAAAAATATATAAAGAGCATCAAAAAATATAGAAGGATAAAAAATGCAATAAAGGATCAACAAGAATTCCTTGATAGGCGTCTTCTGCTGCTCTCCTGGCCCTGTGGTCTGCGGATCCTCTGGTCCTTTAGTCAGCTGGTCCACTGGTCCTTTGGTCCCCTGGTGCCTTCCCCTGGTCCTTTGGTCCACGGGCCCTTTGGCCCCCTGGTCCTTTGGTCCTGGTCCGGTCCCGTGACGGTCCCGTGGCTTTGCGCTCCTGGTCCTCTGGTCTGTGGGTTTCCTATGGTTTTCTCCTTGTTCTTTCACTGATGCTTTTTGGCGCCTTTGGTCGTTTCTCTTGTAGATTGTTGGCCGCAGTTTTCCTGCAAACGTACAATGCTTTTGGCTTCGGTTGCCTTAGGTCTTTTTGTGCACTTTTTGATGCCCTTCACTGAGGAGGCGATAGGGTACATAGTTTCTAGTGATTTCTTTTGCGGTGCTGTGTTTTAACGTTTGGTTCGCTTTGGCGGGGAGGCGCTGCGCCCTCCCCGCCAACCCTGCTCCAGCACCACGAAATCTACACTCTTGCACTGCGCCTGCCACGAACACTAACTATGTAAAGGGTCGCCCATCGCACTTGCAGATCACATATTGCACGTCGTCTAAGTCTCTCTGGGAACTTTGGGGAACTTGTTGCACATATCCTTTCATTGTCTGCTCCTGATCTTGAAGCAGGTGTGAAGCGCTTCCTTTTTGTCAACGTGTATCGCTTCCACGCAGGGCACTTGCGGAACCAAACCGGGACATCTAACTTTGGAAGGCTTTCAATTCAGTGTCTTTGCTGCCTGTTCCTGATTGGCCATATGTTTGGGGGGTGCTGGAGACTTGCGCATGCCATTGTTTGGCACATTTTTGGAGTGTTGGCGTGTTAGTCCTTGTCTTTGGTCCTTTGAGGTGGCTGCTGCTGTCCCCTCCATTCTTCTAGGCTCTAAACACTGTGGCAATGCCAAATAGGTGGACGATAGGGCCGACCTTAGCTTCCACACCTCTGCGCAGTGAATGCTATAACAAGGCTGCAAGTAGTTATAGTTTCCATACTATAAAAGCTGTGACAAAGCCACAGAGGTGGTTGATATAGCGCGCCCCTCAGCAATGTCCAGCATGTCCATCCTTTCGTTCTTTTGTGTCTGCCTGGTCCGATGTGTTTCTGTTGACGGCTTTTGAGCCGATGCTCAACCCCAACCATCCTCAGTAGGCTAGAATGTTTTTTGCTTCCCTTTTTAGGTCTTTTTGATCCCCGTTGAATATTTTTTGATTCCCTTTTTTTTTGATCCCTTACCCGCTGCCGAGAGGATAGCTGCGCTTTGTTGAAGAACCCTAGTTCGACTATCCCAGTTCGGTACCTGCAGGTGACGGGTCCTTTTTCAGGTCACTTAACCTTTGTTGCTTCTTGCCATAAGAGGTAGGCCAGGAGCCAGTCATTGACGAAGACTCCAAGACCAAGACCGCGAGTAAAAACCTGCGGGGGAAACTGCTTGAAGCGCCGCGAGACGTGACCGGAGCTGAACTTCCAGCGTTCGTGTCTCTAGGTTCTTTTTCTTCACCTCATCCGTTCTGAACAGGGGCTCTTCAGAAAGAGAGTTTGGCGCACAAAAAATAACAACAACGCGTTTTTGGGAACCGCGAAGCCAACTGGAAACCGCATGATTCACTGAATTGGATGGATCTGGCATTCCTTCAGAACATCCCAGACACGGCCATTCCAGACTCTTCAGTCGCGGCCGCCAACCCCAAAAGCGACCCCTTCGCGCTCTCCACCGGGGAACCCGGCCGTGACGGAAGGCCTCGACACACGTGGAAGCTGTTGGGAGCCATGAGCGGAGGAGGGCCTCGTGGAAGGACCCTTTAGATCTGAAGTGAGTGAATGAGCACCCCTGATTACCCTGCTGGTCATACACTTGTACCGACCTCGAAAATGGGTACAAGATGGTACAAATACCCCTACGCTTTTGTGATGGGGTCATGTCCGGGTCATGTCCCATGTGAAGTCGGGTTCGGGTAGAGCTCGGTCCGTGCTGTCGCATCGGGTGAGCGACGTTCTATCCATAGACATAGACATCGCACTGGAAAAGGTATCGGCTTCAGATTGAAAAGTCCAACTTTGAGAATCAATTGCAAACAACGTGTGATATTATCAACCATTGTTATTTATATTGTATATATGGTTAATCAGTATATTAAATTGGCTTTCCTGTGTCCAATGTTGGATACCCAAGGTATGGGTGGTTCGCTTTGGTCGACACTCTCTCTCCTCAGGTCACCATTGGGCTGCATGACGAGAGCAAGGACACGTTGAGCTTCTATCACGAGGAGCGCAGGAAGCGCAGGAACGTTTGTCTTTCCTTTCCCAAACAATCCATGGGACTGGTATATTTGTTGCTCCTCGTGCCGGGCGAGTTCGCGACCCCGTGGCACGTGCCGCACCACTCGTGCGTTTACGCGACACGTGCCAGGCCTGGCCACGCTTGCAGGCGAGAATGGCTGAGGAAGTCTCAGGAAATTCCAAGAGAGGTCAAGTGACCTTATAGGGCCTTACTGGGGTACCTATGGGATAATCGAACTAGGGTTCTTCCGCCTTTTGGTT